GTACCTTAATTTATGCAAATCAGTAGTAACGAATAAATTTTTTTGTTGAATTTACAAAACATAAAAAAATAAAAAGGCCCATTAGATTTATGGCCTGACCTAATCCGAACCCAAATTTCCTTATATAAACCTTGGATTTTTTTCCGGCGTATTCCCTAGGGTTTCTGTAACAATGACATTCCGCTCTTTTCTTAGGATCGCTCCTATGCTCCTACATTCTCGGCTCAAAGCAAAGATCTCGCCTCCTCTCCTCCTCCGTCGTTTCTATTCAACAACAACCTTCGATCCTCCATCGTCCTCTGACGTCGAAACCCCTTCCGATCCCACTTTTCCCCGGTTTAACTCAGAGATCTTGGATTCGTCTCTCCTACATTCTCGGCTCAAAGCAAAGATCTCGCCGCCTCTCCTCCTCCGTCGTTTCTATTCAACAACAACCTTCGATCCTCCATCGTCCTCTGACGACGAGACCCCTTCCGATCCCTCTTTTCCCCGGTTTAACTCAGAGATCTTGGATTCGTCCCCAGAGAATGAAGAGTACGAAGATCTTACTATCACTCAGGCAACTCCATTAGTAAGCCCATCGATTCATCCTATTGGTAGATATACCGTAGCAGATGTAGCTGAGAGAGTGGGTCCGTCTGTGGTCCGAGTCGTCGTTCCGAGTAGTGATAAGCGGAAGAAGAGTCAGGGCTCCGGCTTCTTCATAGATCGTAAGAGAGTTCTCAATACACATTTCTGTAGACGCCATTCTTTTACTTTCATAGCTTCCTAATAAGTTTCGGGAATTTTGACTTAAGAGATCTTACTAAGGAACACTTGATGATCTTGTGGCACAAGGGCGAGAGAACATGTTGCTTGAGTAGGATGAGCTACGGCTTGTTGATTGAAATAGACCCTTGTATTCTTCCAATTGGATGGGGAATACTTTAGCCTCTCACTTCTTCTTAGCTTAGGAGTAGGGTCTCTTACAATTTGCTTCGTATCTTCTTCTTCACTAGAGTCACTCAAGTCTTCTTGTGATGGTGTAATGTGCTCTTGGGAAGGGCTTCCTTGTTCTTGAGTCATAGTGTTGAGCTCACTTGGTACTTCTTCTTTATCTTGTTCTCCTTGATCATGAGGCAAGGTATCGTGTTGTGACTCATGATTTGGTTGGCCCGGTCCATGACTTGTTCTATTATGGTCATGACTTGTTGGAGAAGCCTCCGAGTCTATAACAAGAGAATTACTCGGCTTATGAGAAAATAAGGTGATACCGGATTCCTTGAGTGAGGCAATGGACTTGATGAGAGCCTCTAAGTCGGACTTCCTTACATAGTCTCTGGATGCCATCATTGCTGTCTCTCCTCCTACCTTAGATGAACCGGCTTGATTGTGCTCATCTTGAGTCTCTTGAGAGAGGTGAGCTCTTGAATCTTTGAACTTCGCCGGTTTGAGATGAGGGTGAAGGATCCAACACTTCTCTTTAGTATGACCCTTCTTCTTGCAATGATCACAAAACAACGACTTCTTGTCTTCATGCTTGAACATGGCTTTGTTTGCCACCATTTCCACTTTGTTAGCCGAGGAAAGTTCTCCTTTTCCACCAAATAGGCCGGATGAGCCTTGCTTCTTTTGGATCCGAGAGCATACTTCATCAAGACTTGGGAGTTTCTCCGACCTTAGAAGATGTTTGATGAGGTCGTTGTAAGTTGGGTTCAAGGTGAGGAGAAGTCCGAACACTTTGTCTTGCTCACGCCTCTCATGGAGAATCTTTGGATCTAGAGTACCCGGTCTCAAGCTTTCGAGTTTGGACCAAAGGGATCTAAACTTCCCGAAGTGTTTAGTGAACTCTAAGTCTTCTTGAATTAGCTCATTGATGGCCTTCTTCACTTCAAATACTCGGGTCAAGTTAGGTTCATTATCGTACACGTTTTTGAGTGTATCCCACAACTCCTTTGCCGTTTCATAATAGGAGTAGCCTTCAAGAATTGAGGCTTCAAGAGAGTTTTGTAGAAGAGCGAGTACAGCTTGGTCCTCTTGGAACCATTTGTCTTCCTCGGGGACAGTCACCTTCCCTTCCTCTTCTTCTTCTTCGTCGGCTTCCTTTGGAGCTTGAGATGTAACGACATGGCTCCAAAGCCCTAGGCCACACAAGACAGTTTTTGTTGTTCTTGACCAAGTCAAGTAGTTTCCTCCTTGGAGAATCACCGAAGTCACCAGGTTTTGAGAGTTCTCCATGGTTTTGACACGAACAAACCGATGGATAATGCTATGGACCGGCGGTTAAAGAGAGTAGTTTGCTTGAAAACGGAAAGAAAGATGAAGAACTTGAAGATTAGAGAAGTAAACTGAGAATGAGCGGTCTAAAACCAAAATCTCGCTCTGATACCATGTAAGATTATGCGGAAGTAGTATAGAATAATCTAGAGAATTGAGGAGAGTAAAAGCGGAAATAAGAACAAGAGAGAGAGATTTTAGAGCCGAATCATTTTGATATAAAGTTGTGTATTTCTTATGTTTGATTACAACCTATTTAAAGGCATACAAAGAGAATCAAATCGTTACACACGATCCTAGAGTGAAAGCGACTTGGAGAGAGATGTTCCCTTGTCTCATTGTAGAAAGCGACCCGTCCTTGTCTTGTCTCCAAGCCTTGGGACAACTCGTGACTTCTTCCAACGGCTATAAGAGACTTTGAACTCCTGGCTTCTAGAAGGTCTCTCATGGGCTTCTCTCATTCGGCCCTTTCACTTCTTGGACTCCTTAACGAGACTCGGCCTCTTACACACGGAAGTTACTAACTCGACCGTACGGACTCGATGTACGGTCGAGTGCTCGACTCCTTGATTATTTGTGTCTTGATCAATATTTGTCACTCATATTTGATTATGCTATTTATCTTGATTCATTGTTCAAGGAACCGGTCTCAAAACAGAACCTCTATTACTTCAGGAATATTAAAATCAAAGAACAGAGTTAAAAAATTAACGATCATTTATTGAATCTGAGGTAAACTTTAGGGGAAAGAGAATCGAACCACAGAAGTTTTTAAGAAATTGCAAGTAGCTTATAGCTTTGAGTAATCTTGAACATAAAGTAGATAGAGGCTCTAAAACACCGACAATTTTTTTTCATCATAGAAACGGATCTTAAGGTACTGAGAGAAGCTTATGCTGCTGCTGTGATGTACTGGATTGCCTCCTTGCAGATACCTGTCATGGTTGCTTCTGGACCATAGACCTCGATGGGGACACCTATTTCATCTCCAAGGGCTCGCATTATAGCAAGTCCCTTTGGTAGTTTGGTCCTCCTCTTCTCACAAATATATGCATCCTTGCTGCTTTCAGCTTTGCTTCCTGTTGAGAAATATAATCACTGTAAGACAAGATGTTTTTCTTTTGATCCCCTTGTCAGTAATGAGTATAAGAGAAGTTCAAGTTTTACCTTTTCTTTAAGAGCGCGGATTATGCCATTGAAAGTAGCAGGCAGCAACATCAGTGAAGTTGGCAATTCCACCCCCAATCACAAGAGCTCTGCTTTTTCCATCCGGGTTTGCTGTAGCACACTGCAGTATATTGTATTGTTATTGTTAAGTCACAGGTAAAGAAATGTCTTATGGAAGTGGAAAATAATTAATCTTACATCTATAACTACTCTTGTGTACTGCAAAACCTCATCTTCTTTGGGTGCTCCACTGTATTCAGCATAGTTGCCAAGTTCAGATGCATACCCGAGATCTCCAACCTAGATAAGAAATTTGAGTGTTGGACTTGATAAGGGACAATATGCAGAGATTCTCCCAGTAATGATTCATTAGGGAACATACGGTATCCGCATAGATGACCCTTGCTCCTCCACCAGCTACCATTGTCCAAATCCGTCCCTTGGGGTTCAGAACGGTAAACTTCAAAGACGCACTTGTCGTCTGCAATTACAAAAGGTGCAAATAAAACTCTTTACTAGTCACAGAACAATGATGAAGCAGACATTTTGGATTAAATTATTGTCAAGACGGTGATATACCTTCTCATCTAGTCTGTGGATAAAGCTTTTTGTCGGACTCATTACTCTTCCAAATGGCATAGGAAATTTAATGTCGCCCCATCTGCAAGTTTGTGGGCTTAATCATGTGTACCTTCTCAAATTTCGTAAGCTCAAAGGGTTAGGGAATCCAGGGTCAAACTTACTTTTAAAAGTTTTTGAAGGCAGCAGTATCATCAAGCTCACCCCTCATATCCAGAGGATAAGGACTTCCATCAACTAGAGTGAAAGGATTCATCTCCAAGAAAGTGAAATCAAGATCTAGCACACGAAAGGAAATAACAAAAATGCTTAGTTTTTTATCGCAGTAAAGGGGAGTAAAGGGGATTTTGATCTGTATGTAGGTTCAGCTATCCTTGGCATACCTTGGAATAGGGTGAAAATGACTTTGATAAATTCTTCAATTTCAGCTTTGATCTGTACATGCAAATGTTACAAGTCTAAGTCACGAGTCCAATTTCTAAGTTATGTTCACAACTGACAACCCTATAATCCAATTAAAAAGAGTCGATTACCTCTAAGGGAAGAGTTGCCACTAGAGGTGCACATATTTCAGGTGTCAGGGAAGCACCTGTTGGTAAAAATATTGTCTTGACCTGTAGAAATTGGGGCCGTAGCACAAATTTTCATCTTTGTGATACAAGATACTGAATTAAACACTAAGATATTTGAACAAAAATCTCTTACAAAATACCTTGTCCCAGTTCTCCTCGATCTCAATTCCTCCACACTCTGAAAAGCTTATGCTGCACAAAAGCCGATCCGAGACAACATTAAGATAAAACTCCTCATTGTGTGGAACAAATGGCTCAACTATGAATGTTGTTATGGGTCCTTTGCATCCACTCATCTCTACCTACAGATGATAGATGGAAAATTTGAGGTCAAAATGGTCTCAGAAGAATGGCTTAGAAGCGGAAAACAAAAACATTACCTCTTTGCCCAAACGGTCTTTCACAAAAGTGGCAACATCAGCAAAATCTAATTTCAAGGCAACCAAACCACTCTTGCCACGCTTTCCAAACAACATGTCAGGTTTCACCACCAGCTTCTCGGACGAGAGCCAAGGCTCCTTTTCAACTACCTCATTTAGATCAGTTGTTTCAGTAATCTACACACAGAAGAAATAAATAAAAAAGGTTACATGAAGCCTCATGAGAACAGGAAAACAACAACAGTAAACGATATAGATCCAAAATCATGATTCATGAATCATAAATTGAGAAAAGCTAAACCACACAGCATCATCTGCCTAATGTCGGAGAAACCAATGCAAGAATGTAAGAAGAAAACATCATCAGCCTAATGTCGGAGAAACCAACCAGAAGCTATAAAAAAAGGACAAGATCCAAGGAAACAGATTTAAACCTGAACGGATCTGATAGGAAGTTCTTTGCCAAAAAAAATAAGCCTTTTGAAGTGTTCCTTCATTAATCTTTATAAGTCATACTCTCCGATCTTCTTCCTCGCCATTTCAAAACGAAACTGGAGAAAACAACAAATAGAAAACAAAATCAAAATCACAGATCCAGAGATAAACACAAATCGAACACGAAAAAAAAAAAACTCATTTCCCAATCAAATCCGCTAAAATTCAATTCCAAAATGAGAGACGCGAGAGAGGGTTTAAGCCAAATTACGCAATGAGATATGATTATACACGAACAAACTCTAAAATTTCCAAAGATTCAAACGAGAAGAAGCAGAGATCGGTGAAAATGGCGGATCTTTACCGTTGAGAGAATCGGTAGCTTCACAGGTTGGGTAGTTAGCTCACCAATTCGACTCTTCTTCTTTGCCTTCTAATCTTAAGCAGCGAATTTACCATATATAGTTACAAGGTACAACTTATTAAAATATCGTTAAAACTTAAAACCTTTATTATTGAGCATAAGATGCACTTTTTGGGAAGAAAAGAATTGAGTATAAAACCAAAAATCATTTACATATGCAGATAATTTGATGTTATTTTCCAAAAAGTAATATATACTTTTATAGGATTTAATTAACAAACACTTGCAAGAGTTTGCAGCTACGCATCTCTGAAAAAGCTTTCGATGTTCAATTGTTCATTCAATTTTAGAGTATACCAACCTAACTTGTAAATGAACGTTTCAACTTCAACCATTCCATTTGTGTCACTTATAACAAATTTTTGTAAGCAGCTCAGATAGCGATAAAGATGTTGATGGGAAAAGGCAGCTTCGGTGGCCACGTTGAGTGACTTTACTATAAAAATCATTCCTCTGTTTCCTTTTTTTTTTTGGTGAGCAGCCCCTCTGTTTCCTTTGTTTCTTTATTTCTCCATATATATTTTCAAAATATTTTCCAATTGTATTAAAATAGAGTAGATTAGGCAAATGTACTTAATTATATAGTTTCATTTTCCAAATCGATCAACTACTTTGGAAAAATCCAGAAAACATAAATTTCATACATAACAAACAAACTATTTTTTTAGTTACGAGATTTAAGTAAGAGAAGTCTCTTCAAAATACCAATTAGGTTCTCCACAAGTTGTTCTTGTAAGAGAAGTCTCTTCAAAATACCAATTAGGTTCTCCACAAGTTCTTCAGTTTCAAATGTTCGCGGACGTTGTCAATTGGCACGGAGAATCCCACCACAAGTTCTTCAGTTCCAAATGTTCGCGGACGTTGTCAATTGGCACGGAGAATCCCACACCAGTTGCTATGGGCATGCCCATGGAATTGAGCCCAATTACTCTACAATCAAGATTCACCAAAGGCCCTCCAGAGCTTCCCTAAGGGGCCAAGAACAGAAAGTCAAAATAAATAATATAAGTGAAGTCAAAAATATACAAATTTATATTAAAATATTATTTAGATTACCGGATTTGTTGGACAATCCGACTGAAAGTAGGTTCTCTCAAGCTTAGGCAAGCGCAATTCAACATCGGTTCTGTCAATACAGCTAGAAAAAAACAATTGAATAAGAAATCGAATCATGAAAAGAATGAGTGAATGACATATGGCTTAAATTGAGGTTACCTAATCACACCGGCAGTGATGGTCCTATCCAATTTAAGTGGGGACCCAAAGGCCACAACCCAATCTCCCCACCGCATATCACGGGAAATTCCAAACTCCAGGGGTTTAAATTCTTTTGTGCTTGTAATTTGGAGCACGGCAACGTCTAAATGTACTGATACACTATTTCTTAGTACATATGCATTGATGACCCCATCGACATTGAGTGCTTTGATTTTCACCTAATATTGTAAACAAATCAGAAAGCAAGTGTTAATAACACAAGAAACTTAACAAAAGATAGTGAAAATAAATTTCTAGATCTAAGAATGATCTATATATACCGATATTCCCCGATACTTATATCTATTTTAATCTAGTGTGTCGAATAATACCTTATCTGCAAATGATAGAATACGTCCACGTTTGCTAATGTGGGCAACCACATGAGCGCAAGTGAGAATTCTCTTACGATCTATGAAGAAGCCGGAGCCCTGACCCCCCTTCCGCTCATCACTACTAAAAGAACGTTTCGGAACGACGACTCGGACCACAGACGGACCCACTCTCTCAGCTACATCTGCTACGGTATATCTACCAATAGGATGAATCGATGGGCTTACTAATGGAGTTGCCTGAGTGATAGTAAGATCTTCGTACTCTTCATTCTCTGGGGACGAATCCAAGATCTCTGAGTTAAACCGGGGAAAAAAGAGGGATCGGAAGGGGTCTCGTCGTCAGAGGACGATGGAGGATCGAAGGTTGTTGTTGAATAGAAACGACGGAGGAGGAGAGGCGGCGAGATCTTTGCTTTGAGCCGAGAATGTAGGAGAGACGAATCCAAGATCTCTGAGTTAAACCGGGGAAAAGTGGGATCGGAAGGGGTTTCGACGTCAGAGGACGATGGAGGATCGAAGGTTGTTGTTGAATAGAAACGACGGAGGAGGAGAGGAGGCGAGATCTTTGCTTTGAGCCGAGAATGTAGGAGCATAGGAGCGATCCTAAGAAAAGAGCGGAATGTCATTGTTACAGAAACCCTAGAGAATACGCCGGAAAAAAATCCAAGGTTTATATAAGGAAATTTGGGTTCGAATTAGGTCAGGCCATAAATCTAATGGGCCTTTTTATTTTTTTATGTTTTGTAAATTCAACAAAAAATTTATTCGTTACTACTGATTTGCATAAATTAAGGTATCAAATATTCTTAATTAATTCAGGCCCAGTAATGGCAAGTCATTTCTCTCGCGTGAGTCCCACGCGCATCCGTTGTACAAGGCGCATCTAATTTAAATTTCAATGTAATGATTTTTTATTTAATTGTTTGTTTAATAATATTTAACAAGATTTATTCTGTCTTTTGTTTTAATTTGTTGTGTTGGACTAATATTAACTTGGTTACTTACGTGTATCTTTTAAAGGCAACAAAAATTATGTTAATTAAAAATGTTAAAGAAGGAAACTAAACTAAAACAGAGCAAATCATTATAAAATTAGGGTAATAATTCTCGTCAGTTGTTGTTCCTTTCCATACCATATTTTCTTATTTTCTATACTTACCCAAGAAAGCATATTAAATTGTTAGAACCTAGAAAATGTTGAACTTTTTGAAAAGAGTCGAAGATAACTATCCTAACTCATGGTTAGCTTATCTACATTGTTAATAATGTGAGTTAATTTTTTTTTTCAAACATCGCTCAAATATGTTATATGAAAAAATCAATGACTTGTCTATCTTATATATCGTAAGAAAATATGTTCGAAAATTTTGATTTTGAAACAAATTGGTTAATAATTTTGTGGCAAAGAAAATATTTATTTTTTTGGTTTTGGAAGTAATTTATTTTGTTAGTTATTTATATATTTTGGTCATATAAGAATATTTATCTTTATAGACAAAAATTATTTTAGCATCTGTGGTTATTATAAAAATTTGGGGCAATTTATTTTTACCGTCTCCAGCCACCACTGACCTTGGCACGGCTCTGTCTCTGACCGGAAGGGAGTCATGAGATCCAACGTACCAGTCTCGATGTCTGAATCATGTGAACCCTTATCCGATTCCGATGAGTCCAAAGCGGTAAACCGATTTCAATGTAATGATAAAATTTTGAAAATGGAAAAATTTGATCGTCTTAAGTAAAAAATTAACCAGAATATTTGGTATAACCTATAACCTATACTAGAAAGCATGGTTTCTAACCAAAAAAAACCATCTTAATTCATATATGGAGAAAAAATAAGAGCGTCATGAATCTAGATTTGGTCGTCAACCCCGGTGATAAGCTTGCTGCTGGACAAAGGCTCTGCCAAGACAGTGTGCTCTTCGAAGGGCGATTTTGAAAAATTGGTCTCTTTCCAAAACTCAGGTATAAGGAACCCGCAAGTCTTCTGAAGGCAATCAAAGGTATCCTGTGCAACAAAAAGAAACAATCATAATAGGTAAATTGAATTTAGAAGGATTCACAAATCATGCTCACAGAAGCATAGAAGAAGCTCTAAGCTTGCAGAACTAGACTTTGTAAACTACAAGTTTACAACAGTCCTAACAATATTGCAGAGTCAACCCTATAACCACAACACACACTTAGCAAGGAGTAACCTTTCCAAACAAGTTAACTAGTGAAGCTAACAGCTCGAAACTACTAGCCATTGTGAACAATAGGACTAACCAAATTGGCAAGCTAACTATATAGATTCTCAACCAATTAATAACTAGTAATTTCTCCTAAATGGAAAGAAGAAGAAAAAAATCAAACCTTGACAAAGTTACGTTCCCTAAGGATACTAATATGATACGTTGATATATGAGAGATTTATGTCACAAGTTTAACCTACAAAGATATCAAAACTGTTTCAAAAGCTTTTGATAAGTGATCGAAAGAGTGCAACATTATTTATATGAAAGTAACTTAGGCAATCTGCAAAACCAAATCATTGGATAGAACCAGTTTGTATTCCTAGAAGAATAGATCGAAGTTGCTGTGTAGCAACCCTATCTCCAACTTTGTACTCAGTCCTGCAGCATATATATACACATGTATCCAAAGAGGAAGAAGAGACCTTGTGTTCTGAAAAGTGAGGCTTCCAACATACAACTCCAGTGGCAGTTTCACTGCAGAAAACTTCTTCTGCTTCCTTCAGTTCTTCTACCGGAACCCTTCGTTCTTCCACCTATTTCCATTACACACTTCTCAAGACTTTACATGCATCAAGTATTTATATTTGATTCCTGTAATTTCAGGTGGAAGTCATTCCACTCCCACCTAACTACATTGATTTGATATTGAAAGTATCTTTTGAAATCAAATTTGAAGTTTAGATATATAAAGCATATTGAAACCATCCATTATGTATGTGCCCCGTTTTGCCTCAAGAAAGTAAACAGAGTATTGCCCTGTTTTTTGACTCAAGATTGGAAACAATGTTAGAAGAAAACAGACGACTAACCTTGTAACCAAGAAAACAAGGGCGCTTTCGATTATGCTCTTTACGCTTGATCCCTCCGAGAATAGAATCGTCCCAAGGACAAATGTTGTATCTAATTGGAGGGTAATGTCAGCGTTCTGCCCCAGAGACATGTTCTTCTACAACAGAAGCTGCTGCCTTGGTCGTCCCATGCATACGAAATCCCCAGATCTGTATTATTACAAACAATGTAAATGTCTTTTATTTTTATATATTATGACAAAAAATCAAATTATGTTATAGTTGTTTGCTTGGTGTACAGAAAAAAAGAAGAAGAAGAGTATATAATTATACAGTGGTCTATTGGAAGAAAGTACGAGCCTCTGAGAGATAAAAGTACGAGCCTCTGAGAGATAAGATGAAGTTGTTGAAGATTGAGATAAGCAGCGAAGAGCCATATATGAAGAATGTTGTACGAGAGCTTGTGTGTGCACCAACGTGAAACTCTAGATCAATGAGGTCGTGCCAACTCTGAAGAAAATATTTTAGAAACTACAAAGAGGAAGAGAGGTTGAAATATATAGAGAGAGGAAGGGAAGATATAGGCATTTACCACCAATTACCTTTTCAGTATTTCGATTACGAAACCAAAACTTTTGTCTCCAACTAAAAAAAAAAAAAAACGAAGATAGAGGCGTTTACACCAATGTTTAAAGTTTAAACCAAAACTTACCACAAAATGCCATCAAAAATATCTATGGAAGACATGCATATGTAAGAAAGCAATAATAGCACATTGAATGATCGATGTTGCGTTAAGGGAAACACAATAGTAAGGTTTTAAGATGTGAGAAAATACCGTTGCTAAGAAGATTATGTTGATAACTATACTACATATCACGAAGGCTAAAGATAGTTTATTCACAATTCTATCGGAACAATTATTTAGTTGAGCTTTTTCTTATATATTGAGATTTTTATTATAATTGTCTAATTCATCTATGTTTCTTGTTTGATTGTTAATTAATCTATATTGAAATTCACTAAGTTAAGACTTAAGAGCAAAGGGAAAACAGAAAGCAAAATAAAAAGAAAAACTGTCGTGGACTCTTTGCTTTGTTTAGATGGCATAGCTTTTATGTTACTACCCGAGACAACCTAATTCACATCCCAACCCGAGAAGCATAAAATTCGTCAGATCTCGTTGTATTAATCCGGCTGTTTGATCGGATCTGATTCACAGGGAGGGAAGAAGAAGACCATGGCAGGGGCGGCCTCAGCGCTGTTTCTGCTCGATATCAAGGGTCGTGTTCTCGTGTGGCGCGATTACCGTGGCGATGTCACCGCTGCTCAAGCTGAGCGTTTCTTCACCAAACTCATCGAGAAAGAGGTTTCTCTCTTCCCATCTTTGCTTTCTAGATTTGCGATTCCGTGTTTATTTCTTCTGTTTTTCAGTGCTTGATTTTGGTACTTCGAACCATGGATTTGTTTTCAATTTCCATCTTTGGGAGATTCCCCAATAGAATTCGAATGTGTTCTAAGCAACTGGCCCGATTATATCGAAGTTGCAATCTTGTTCTGTTTCACCGGAACTTGCTAATTGAATTCTAAGATAGGGATGGATTCGTATCTGTCTTTGCGATCTGATGCCACTGCTCCTTCTGAGATTCTTGTGATTTTACGAAACAGAAGCTTGAACATTTGAAACTAATGAACAAGCTTGATCAATGCTTACAGGATTGAATCTGGATTAGAATTTGATCAGAATCGATATACTTATACTTTTATGAATAAATGACTAGTGTTTTCTTTGCGGGTTTGCTTACTTTCGTCTAATTTTTCAGGGTGATTCACAGTCAAATGATCCGGTTGCTTACGATAATGGGGTGACCTACATGTTTGTACAGCATAGTAACATTTACCTCATGATAGCGTCCAGACAGAACTGTAATGCTGCCAGTCTTCTCTTCTTCTTGCATCGCGTAGTGGATGTAAGCATCCCTAGTGATTCAATTTTTTGCATTTCCATCTGTTTTCCGGATTGGAGGAAAAAGAACGGCACTTTTTGATATGTTACAATCATTTATGTGTTTCTTATACTGATTGTAGGTCTTCAAGCATTACTTCGAGGAGTTAGAGGAAGAATCTTTGAGAGATAACTTTGTGGTAGTGGTAAGTTAATGCTTCTCACATCTCTTCTTATAACTCTTTTTTTATTATTCTATATATTGTTTTCTCTCTTTCATGAGGTGGAAAAGTTATTTCTAAAACTAGGTGCTGAAATTTACTTATGTTACGGGCAGTATGAGTTACTTGACGAGATGATGGACTTTGGTTACCCTCAGTATACTGAGGCAAGAATCCTTAGTGAATTCATCAAGACTGATGCATACAGAATGGAAGTTACACAGAGACCTCCAATGGCTGTCACAAATGCTGTCTCATGGAGGAGTGAGGGGTTACAGTTTAAGAAAAACGAAGTAGGTGCTTAGTTTTCAAGCAGGGAGCATTTTACTTTCAATTGTTTTAGGTTTTCAAATGTTTACAGACTGATGTTTTGTTTTCCAGGTTTTCTTGGATGTAATAGAGAGTGTAAATATCCTTGTGAACAGTAATGGGCAAATTGTCAGGTCTGATGTCGTTGGAGCGTTGAAGATGCGAACATACTTGAGGTGCGTTCTCTAGTGTTCTTAGTCAACTAAAGCATTTTAGATCAAAAGTTCCTCCTCTTTGACTCTGTGCTTCTTAATCCATGTTATTACAGTGGAATGCCAGAGTGTAAGCTAGGCTTGAATGATAGAGTACTGTTGGAGGCACAGGGACGAGCAACAAAAGGAAAAGCCATTGATTTGGAGGACATCAAATTTCATCAGTACGTTAATCTCTTGCAACTCCAAACATTCTCTGACAATCACTTAATCGAGGCCAAATTTTTTACTAACTCGAAAAAGTATTTAATACATGAGTTTTTACATGTCTCTTTCTTCAAAATGTAGGTGTGTTCGATTAGCCCGTTTTGAGAACGACAGGACTATATCTTTCATACCACCTGATGGATCTTTTGATCTAATGACGTATAGACTCAGTACTCAGGTTTGAAATGTGGAATATAACACAAATGGTTTTGTCCCCTTCTTAAACGAATTAAATCTCATTATATAGATTATTTTCACATAATACTTGTTCAGGTAAAGCCTCTTATATGGGTGGAAGCGCAGATAGAGAGGCATTCCAGAAGTCGTGTTGAAATGCTAGTAAAAGCTAGAAGCCAATTCAAGGAAAGAAGGTAAGTAATAATCATTGCGTGACTTTACGTTTTAACCATTACCTTAAATCATTTAACACGTTTTGATAAGAGTTCATTACTCTGCAGCACTGCAACAAATGTTGAGATTGAGTTGCCTGTACCAACCGATGCATCTAACCCCAATGTAAGAACATCTCTTGGGTCTGCCGCATATGCTCCCGAAAAAGATGCATTGGTCTGGAAAATCAAATCTTTCCCAGGGAACAAGGTAAGTTCCTGTAGTTTAATGTAACAATTTAGTAATTTACCATGTAAAGTTGAATGCTTACATTAAGTTTTGAAACAATGTAGGAGTATATGTTGAGAGCAGAGTTCCATCTTCCAAGTATAACCGCAGAGGAAGCAACGCCTGAGCGAAAAGCTCCAATCCGTGTCAAATTTGAGATCCCATACTTCACAGTTTCAGGAATACAGGTCGGTATTGCTCACAATGATCAGTTTTTGTCATATATGTCGCATTCTTTCTATATTACTGCATTGAAATGTGAAGGCAAAACCTGATGCGTGTTAATTATTGGTATTGCAGGTTCGATACCTGAAGATCATTGAGAAGAGTGGGTACCAAGCTCTTCCATGGGTGAGATATATAACCATGGCTGGTGAGTACGAACTGAGACTCATGTAATATGAGATCTGTTTTTGTTCTTACTTTTATTTAAGCCATTGTCAACGACACAAAGCAGAGGAAAGATCAATGAAAAAAGGGAAAAAGATTGAAATATTTTAGCCGATGGAACTTGCGGTGAAGGTTGTTTTAGAAGCCATATTCTTGTGAATTGTTTTATGCTGTTCTCTTTCTTTTCCTTTTTTCTGTAAGCTATTTACGACACTTATATATTGGGTTACAATTGTTAAACATCGGGTTTTTTTGGGGTCTTTCCGTTCGATTCTGTGTCCATTGCCACGGAAGGAAACGGCATGCAGTTTGGGTGACTATACCAAGAATGGCGTGCAGTTTTTGCTACCCTTTTCCTTCTATTTTGGAAACAAGTAGAATAGCCATAATTATAATTTTGATTTCGTTTTAAAAATGAGTTTATGATAGAATTCAGTTAAATTAAACTAAATTGATTCATCAATTATTATATTATTTTGTAAAATCATTGAACACAATGAAAAATACTTTCTTAAAAACATCCTTGGTGGTACTTGGCAGGACTAGAGTAGTAGAGTGTGAGTTTGGTGCATAAAGGACTATGCATGAAAGAATAAAAGTCTGAACAAACATATGTTATGTTGCTCTAAATTGAATTGAATTAAATGAAGTGATAAAAAGTCATATGAGATGTGGAAGTTTCACTTCTTTTTGTCTGCTAATTTAGCCTTTTTAATAATAAATATTGACAAATATTTTCATATAAAATGGAATGTACCTCACTACAACCATCCTTACACAATCTTCATGTTATTTTTCTTTGGTTTTTGTTTCTTCCTACTTTTTTCAACCTTTGGTTATATACTTAGTCATCTACAAGGTCTGTGAGCACAAATACATTAAGAGTAGCGACATACTATAAGAAATCTCTACAAGCTCTGCGACCAAGGGTTCTAAGCATATAAGCGGTCAGTACCCTGGCTGGCAGAGCTTCTAAAGATGTCTTCTTTAAAACTTAATGTCCAAAGCATTCTAAGACTTTTCATATGGAAATAGATTCATTCGGCAACATACTCTAGCCTTCTGTGGAACAAAGTCACTTTATGTGGGCACGTCGACAACCGAAAAATCGAGTAGAAGCTACCATTCGTTATGCTAAAGACGTCACTAACTCTTTTTGGTATAAGGAATGTCAGTTTCTTCTCTGATTATTTTGTTGTCGATGTGCCACTTAAAGTGGACTTTGTATCAGGGATTGCTACGGTGTGTTTGACCAATCTTTTTCCCATATGAAACTCTTAAGAATGGAGAAGCAAGGAGGAATAGCTTCAATTGTTGCTAGTTGTTCGACCCACTCGCTACATCTCCTCAAGGTCCGTATGCAGCCCAAAGGTGATTCCAACCCGCTCTTGCCTTCCATTCCACGTCTCCTGTGCTTCTGTCCGCGCGCCTCTTTGTCCGCGCGTGGGCATAATCGATGTATAATCCGTCAAGAAGCAATGTGCTCTGTTCCAGTAAGAGTTCAGTATATAAATAACATTTTTTTTTCTACTAAGAACCTGACTTGTATCAGGGAATTGGATGAGGCAGTAGAGCAACATGACGAACTAACAAATATTATAACTTTCAAAATGAAAGGTATGTTTTATAGTACAACAAATAGCAAGGAGAATAAGAAGAACAATGAATAATCTGTATTAGTAATAAATAGCCTAAAAACAACTTAAGCCCTCAACATATCAACCCTAAAACATATATTTTTTTTAAGATCAATGTACAAAGTTGTTTTTTCTGGGTGATGAACGAGGAGAAGGAGATTGATTGGGGAGAGACTGAGGAATCTTTCTAAAAACATGTTTCCTGCAGCGTTGGAAGATACTGTCGTATATCAGATCAAACTGAATTCCAGCTCTCTCTCTGTTCACTATGAACATTATGTGATCTGCTTCCACTATCTTATGATACCTGCAACAACAAAATACATTCAATTTTCTCAATCCATCAATGTCTACTCTATGCCATTTGTTCAAAATATGATTCACTTACCAGATCCCGGGTTGTAATGTTTGACATTCCGAATCGCTCCTTATGAACCGGCTCGGATGCTCAACAGGTAGCCTCGGATGTGTCATTGATATTGTGTTCAATGCCCCGTCGTTCTCTTGCCAGTCCTCATCCCTTCATTCAAACACATTTTTTCTTAGATCAATGCAGCTACTTCGCAATGTTTAAGCACGCAACGAACAAAAGATTGATCAAGTGCTTCAAGAATGAATCTTAAAGTTTGAATCTTTTTGGGTATTGTGTTACCTGTAGCCTTTATAAGGAGGAGATACATCTTGTGGGAATTTCCATTGGCTCATCTGAAAGACGCGGAGGAAGAGCATTGGGTGGATTCCAAGAACACCTGAAGGGATTGTCATGCCCATGACTCTGCGGGTGCGTTTAGTCGCGTAGCTGAAGTAGTAAGTGTTTGGGAACGTCTGGAGATTGGAGTTAATACTTGTTGAGCCTTGGATCGTGAGATCAGGTAAGATCCAATCGCCAGAAGCAAAAGGACCTGCGTTTCCCATGAGGCAATCAACGAGACCTCTCACACCGGATTTCTTCCAAGAAATGTTGAAGTGATCGAACCCGAAATTGTAATAAGTCTTTAGCCATGAAATGTCCAACCAATCATACATTATCACGCCTATACGACACAGCTGCAAAAGACATATCGGTTTCATGCTCACTCCATCATCTGTCCTGTAACAGCAAAAATAAGAATCAACAATCAGGATAAAAGATCTTGGTTTTCTAATACAAGAACATACATTTGCTTCGAAGATCAAACCTTATTTCAAAATGCAGAAACAAGAACATTCCAACCAATCGTTAAGATCCATTTAAATACCCAAAAGAATTGAAAATGTCAGAATGCAAACTAACCGCATGCCATCTAAGTAAGTCCTGGTAGTTCCATTGAATGCCCCGGATAACGATGTCACACTCAGAACCCAATCCTCACTCGTTTCTTCAAACCCTTCAAATGCCTAAACATCACAAGTTTGAGACATATATGTGAGCATCAACCATCAAACACAGCTTTTAAACCGGAAGATATTCTTTCATTAAAAGAAGGATTCAACACAAACCGTATCTGCAAGCATTTGCTGCAACACGCGCACAACTTGAGCACCCGCTGAATGTCCCACAAAATGAATAGGATGATCCTCATCCCATTCAGGGTATTGCCCTAAAACACATACCAAAGTCAGATTTACATTCGAAATGAACATTTGCGTACATTAGTCTCTTCCAATGAGCATTCAGATCAAAATCTAACCTTGTTCGTATCTTCTTCCAAACCGAGAATGTCCACAAGCCTCGCTATGCTCTTCGCCAAAATCAACTACCCCTCCTTTCAAGTAATAGAACAATTCCCTTGCCCTGGAAAGCAATATGTTATCATCAGCAAAATGCACACATGATAGATCAAAATCTACATCAAAATCACTAAATCCTATACCTATCATAGATGCTTGTTAAGGATCCCAAATCAGGAACAAGGACCCTCTCATCTTTCTTCTCAGCACCACCAAAGTAAGATAAGCCTCCTAATCTCTGCTCATTAAAACAATAAGATATCTAACCTCAAAACCACAATCTAACAAACAAAAGAACCAATTTTGAGTTTTTAATTGCATTACCCCTTTGCCAAATCCAAAGATCCCATGAACCAACACAATTGGAGGCAAACCCTCAACAATGCTTTGATTTTGACCAGTTTCTCCGAGGTCGTTGAAATCGACATTGGACTTAAACAAGTAGTCATTCAACGTCTGAGAGATATCTCCGGCAACAGCGGAGCTAAATATATAAAACCCATAAAGCAAATGCACAAGAGAGCTCACGAAGAGCTCCGCGAGTTGAAGAGAAGTCAGCATCCACAACTTTATCATCTTCTTCTTCTTCCCACGATCGGAGATTTAATAAGCAAAATCGAGATAAAAGAATCTCCTTTATCCTGAAAAAAAATGAAAAACTCCCCGAAACAGGGGAGACAAATACAGAGAGAGGCTTCTTTCAAGAGAACATAAAGGATGCTCCTTTGGCGAAAACCCAGAAAGGAATAAAATTCGAAAACTTTGAATTTTCCCGAGAGAAAATAAAGGAAAATGCGTCGTCTCTCTCTTTTATCATCCAACAAAAAAACTTGTTATCCACTTGTATCTGCCCACCTCTCACCAAAACAATGAATTTTCAAAAATTGACAATCTTTTAAGCTGAATCACGCCATGTGTAACAGTGGTGACCTCTCCCTAATAAAAATTCCGAGTTTCCGCCATATTGTAATGTCAGGGCTCCACTAAATTCTTGGAGAAATAAAATAATTATTATTAATACTAATATTTGTGTAATTGGTTGAGAGAAACGGTGAAGTGGGCTGGATCGCCGCTGGAAGGTTCGTTCATAGAATCCGACCAATTCCCAACTGTCTTCTGTAACCTTATCCATTTTAATCATAATGTTTATGCCTCTAATTATTTCGATTCCACTTGTTTTAACATGTGTTTTGCTCTCGCTCCCTTAATTACTTTTACTTGGAAATAATGGATAAGTGGATGTGTTAAAAGACTTTGTGGTTGGACACATGTTTGTTGGTATAACTTATAAAACGTTTTAAAAATCATGATTAATCAGATAACATAATCGTATATTCGTATAGGAGAGTTAACATGGTTATTATCTCCGTTAAATCTAAGCAAATTAATTAAATATACTTCAAAATCACAAGTTTTACTATAAGACCACGTATTACTAAACCTTGTGATTTTGAGATAAAGATAGATCGATTATGTATCTTACAGTTATGTTCGGTAATGGTCGACAAACAATACTCTTAATGAAAAGTGAAAACCATGTTCTTTTAGAGATGTACAAAATGAATTACATAGAATTTTAGATTTATGATTCTTTCATACGTGAGAATCGACATTTGGAAAATTTTCGCAACAATATTATTCATAGTTTACTGAAAATATAATATTATTCATAATTTTACTGTAAAAAGTGATATTATCATATTTGCGTGAAAGATGATATGCAGACCGAAAAAGAAAAGAAATGCAGCCTCATCATCCCTCATGTGGAGGTTATAGATAATTTGGACTCTTTTGGCGCTGGAAATGGAATTAATGGGGGAACTAAATAACTAATGCACATGGATTTCAGATTTTCCTTTTCTTTTATAAAAAAAAATACTAAAATTTTAATATAGTTGTTAGTGGAACGTCCAAATTTAAATATCATAACTGGATAGTTGGTAAAGGAATCGGTAATAGATCCAAAATTTTATTTTCCTTTTTAGGCAAGAAACAATTGTCGTGCAAGAAAATTATGATATTCAGAATACAGTAATGTGATGCAGTCGTGGAGTATTGTACTTGATATAATAAAGTATTCGGAAAATAAAAGTTAAATAGTTTGTATTTTCATCTTCTTCTTTTTTCCGGGATAATCTAAATTTGAATCTATCGTATAGACAAATCTTAAGATATTGCAACACTCGTCAAGTGGATTATGGACTTTTATCTCCAATTCCCAAGACCGAAATAAAATAATGTGAAACTAATGGGTCTAAATAATTAAGGCATGTTTTTAATATTGTAGCTACCGGCCAAAATCATTAAGGGTAATTAATTAAATATTAACCTTAAAGTATGGTGACTATGGTCAAAAGAAAGTTTCACAATTTGGAAACTTCAGAGTCGTTGACTACACTAATTGGCAAGGAACAAGAGTAATTAATTACTAAAGTCAAAAGAAAAGTTATTACTGTTGACTCTTTGATACTAATGTATAATGAATCGGATATCAGAAGGATCCTATACCAAATTTGATTACCATCCCTACCAATTTTGACCGTTTGGTAGTTGCTTTCTTCCACATTTGTACAACTTTTAACAATATAAAAGTCATATTTTTGTTTGCTTAACTAATTCTATATGGTATAATACACCATTTTGGTAAAGTAAATAAAGTTGACTACTATAAATAACAATGACAATTAATATATACTATATATACCTTTTTTATTTCAATATTACAGATTTACTGTCTATATATTTGACTATAAATTTAAAAGTCACATACTGTTGTTTAAAAAAGACAACTGAAACAAGAGAAAATAAATAATAAGATTGCTTAAGACAAACAAAAGATGAAATCACAAACACTTCTCATCTCGATATTAATCTTCTCTTTCTTTGCTCTACATCAGTGTATGTAAAGAGCCTTTTTCACACTCACACATATATAAACAATTCTCTCTTTGTTATCGTTATTGTCAATGTTTGGTTAATGATGGTGTAGTTTCACATGTGTAGGCATGCAGATGGATGTTGGAGAAATAGAGGGCTCGAGCAAGATCTCTATTGGAAAGTGTGTCCCTGCCCAATGTGCAGTTAGTTTTTTCAAACGGGATTGTTGGTGTTGTTTTAGAGATCAAACTATGTGTTCGAAAACCCAAAAAGATTGCGAATCCAATCCCCGTTGTCCTCCTTTAAAGTTATAAACTTTTTGAAAATTAATGTACTGCTATGATATTTACAAATTTATAATGTTTTACTATGTACTCTTTATTCACACAACTACGATGCTTTACTCAATATAAGAACGATCTATATAACCTGACTGCACAACCCTGACAATGTACGACCTTAATTAAATTTTATTTTCAAGAAACCAAATAAGCTAAAATGAAGATGTACTTGTTGCTATAGTTTGATATAAAATATAGTTTAATATAAAAATTTATCAGCTTAATAAATCAACATATAAAATAAGTAGAGTTAAAAACTAAACTTCTTGAATCTTAAAACCTAAAAATGTAATTCATACTTAGTTCTTAGGGTCAACGAAATATTAAACCACAGACGAAACGATAATGGAAGATCTGGGAAGAATAAAACATTAATTAAAAGTGTAACAACTGTAGAAATGTTGATGGACGAAAACACCCCTATTCTGTGGAGAGAGACGACATAATCATTTGCAAAATCTCAGCATTAAATGAGAGAGAAACCTGCTACAAAGATTGTACTGTATAATAAAGATTTACCATAAAAAATCATTATGACAGAGCAATATCGCGAGTTGCTGGTAAAGGAGATATTTGAGTTCATCAAAAGTATATTCTGTATGGTCACCAAAACGATTTACAACCAACTAACTTCGCGTGTTAACAGCTAAACAATTTATTTTCAAATAACTAAGTTATCCATAAAGGATTTAAAAACAATCTCGACCAGTACAAAAAAAAAGAAGGAAATTAATGCAATAAACAGTAATGAATCTACAACCAGGTAAAGAAATGTATTAATTACAATCTCGGACCCAAATTATTTGTCGTTACTTATATGGTAGAACATTTAAAAATATAAAAGTTTGATCTATATGGTAATAAAACCATTAGCCGTTAACAAATGTGTTTTCAGCCAAATGGACGAGACTTAAATAGTTTTAAGAATCGTTCAACCACTAAGAGAAAAGGTAACAGATACAATAAACATTAACACACAAAAAGGCCAGGTAAATAGGTTAGCGGATTGAGAAGAAAGAGACATCAATCACTTAAAAGTTAATACGTTAACCGCTAACCATTGTCTTTGGACATAACTAAGTTACCCCAAAATGTAAACCCAATCTCGAAACCAGTACAAAAAAGAAGGTAATTAATGCAATAAGAATCGGGGAACCAGTAATATAAAATGTAACAAATGCAATAAACAGTAAGATAGAAAAAGCCGGGTAAAAAAGTTATCGGCTTGAGAAAAAAGAGAAAAACATTCAGTAAAAGTATGATCTCTAAGGTAACAAAACCAGTAAACGTTAACAAATGAATTATAGCATATACGAAAAAATATCAAGTTACTTATAACCTACTCCCTCCGTTCCTGAAAGTTTGATGTTTTAGTGTTTTAGGTTTGTTCCACAAAGATTAATTTTCTAGCTTTTTATTTTATTTTTTATTAATTGATATTAACAAATCGTAGATTTCAAGGCGTAATGATTACAAATAATTAACTGTTTTAGATTACTATTGGTTCATACATTATTAAAAATATTTAATAAAAATAAAAAATTATTAAATGATTAAATCATGATTGTTTTTTAATATATGTGTAAACTCTAAAACATCAAATTTTCATGAATAGAGGGAGTATTAAATATGGATTCTTTCAAAAAAAATATTCTTATCAACTAGTTTATACATTATCATGTTTATAATCAATAACTTAAATAATATGTGTTTAAGTATGCAAATTAATGGCTTTATATGTATGTAGGATCTCATTTTAACTAAGTTAACTTTACATATTTAACATGATAAATATTATAGTAACGAGTTAAGTAGAATGTTAAATAGATATACAATTAATAGTGTGTTAAGTTTAATTGTAGCATGGTAAGTTATTCAATATATCATATAAGACTGCGGTAAATAAAATTGTACGTCAGATAAATTAATATTTAGCACAATACAAAATTAGATGTAATCCTTTCTTCTCTCCCATCGTAATCCTTTCCTTCTCCACGAATTCTCTGATCAACGAGACGAGTTCTTGAGAAGAAGATGCGTTGGCGATCTGATCTGCGAAAGGCTCCCATTCCTGAGAAAGCATACCTCCAGATGGATCTGAAACTTTAATGCCATTGTCAGAGACTTTATTGTGCGACGCTGTGATCATAAGCCCGACAGTGGCTGATCCAAGCTTGAGCGATCGGAGAGATGAGAGATTCCCAACTCTGTATACAGTCGATTTCAGCAATTTTGCATCGCCTCGAAACCCAGCTGTTCCATAAGACAGCTTGAGGTCTTCAGGAATCAGAAATAGCTCATTTGAGGAGTGAAGCGATTTGGGTCTCGTCCATGGCGCTTGTGTGTGAGAGAGAGGAAGAGTGAAAAATGAAGCTAAATCTTCAACGAGATATCATGTATCCCAACTTAACACACAAAACTATACACACACCCTATTATCACCACAATACACCTATCCACTACCTAAAAAATTCTGACACACATAAGATATTATGTAAAATGAAATCTCGCTTGCATGCAGCTAAAAAATAGGGTCAAAATCGTCAGACTCAGTAACAAAGTATAGGTCGAACAGTGACGAAAACAGAAAACTAATTTCGGTTTCGTCTGAGGTCATTTAGTATAGATATCCTTAGAAATCCTAGTTCTTATTATCATTTTTTTAACATCATTTCTTATTATCATTTTTTTAACATCATTTCTTAAAATCACTTGATTTATTTAAATAATAATTAATGACAGTATATACTTAACCTTTTTAAGATGATGAACAATAAATGTAAGAATGGATTTCATTCCATTTTATGCTTATCTAATTTAACATTTTTAAGAAAATAATGGCTTATCTATATTCTATATATATTTACTAACCTTTGTTTTTTTACAAAAACTCAGACAACCAAATCATGAAATCATCACATACGTCTCCAATCTTCATACTCATGCTCTCTCTCTTTGCTCTAGATCAATGTATATATACATTTTCTTATATATATAAATATACTGTTTATTTAAATTGTTTATAATTCATCAAAGTTGGGTTGATGTGTGTTTCAAATCAATGCGTAGGTGTGAGGATGGAGGCTAGAGAGATAGAAAGGTGGAACAAAATCTATATACCGACATGTTTTCATGTTAATTGCGACCCTACTTTCAGTTTAAAAAGAGACTGTTATTGCTGCGGAACAGCCATAGATCAATGCTATGACGACCAACAATACTGCAACGCCCATTGTCCTCCTCCTAAAGTTTAAAACCTTTAATAAACCGATGTACAACGTAGCATTCTTGTAATGCTTAATTGTACTACTTCTCATTATATTATACTTTTTGCTTCAATTTAAATTAGAACGTTCCATATATTTATCTTTAAATAAATAAACTATATATTCATTAAAAACAAACAACATTACAAAGCTTAAGAGGCTCAAAAGCCACACGGCCCAACGGCAGGAAAAACAACAGATTTCTCTTGCGCCAAGGAAACCTGAAGTCTGAAGACAAACCAAACAAATACAGAACAAAAAGAAACAGAACCTAAGATTTAAAAATCTGCATATAATTATCTTAATTCTCTTTATAATATGAATTTGATTGCATTTTACAAAGATTTGAGACAAACTACTAAGTTGACCAGTTAAACTGACATAAAGTTAAAAAGAGACTGTTATTGATGCCCGTCAGTAAAAGATCTTTGCTGGGAAGACCAAAACTATTGCAACACCCATTGTCCTCCTCACTTTTAAAACCTTCAATAAACTGATATATGTACAACCAACCATTCTTATAATGCGTAATTGTACCATTCTCATTATATTACTATTTGCTTCAATCAGAATAAGATCGTTCTTTGTAATTGATTCTCTATAATTAACGTGAATTTGATTGCATTTTCTATCGACTGGGCACAAACTACTAAATTAACCAAGTAAAGAAAATAAGAAAAGTAAATGACTTTTGAATTATCAAGATGAGAGGTATATATATATAATGTTATGCCAAAAATGAAGGGCTAAAATGTAAAAATTTTATTTTCAATTTATGAAAACAGTTGGAAAGAAGTTGTTAATAATAGACTACCAATGGAAATAAGTAAAAGAATTTTCACAAAAGTTCTAATAATTTGATCCATACTTAATTAATCTAAGTCTTTTATATTTATACAATTATCTTAATTAGGTTTAAAATCACATGGTTTTTATATTGCCTCTTTGAAATATACAAACTAAGTAATGAATAAGAAATAAAAAATTTAAGAGTAAAATAAATAGGTTAAGTCTATATAATATAGAGAGGATATACACATTTTAGAAAAAGGAAAATTACTTGACTAATTTAAATAATATTTAATGAAAGCATATACTTTATCTTTTTAAGATGCATGGTATGAAACAATATATGTAAGAAGAGTTTTCATTTCAATTTTACGGTCTCTATATATATGACTATAAAGTAAAAGTCACATAATGTATTGAACTAAGACAACAAAAGAAGAGTCAGAAGATTGTTTAAGATAAATAAACAATGAAATCAGAGACAGCTCTCATCTGCATATTCATGTTTTCTCTCTTTGTTCAACATCAGTGTATGTATAGGTTTCTTCGTATATATAACAATTTGTTTGTACCTAGGTTGTAACAATAATAATATACGAGATTTTGGGGGTGAACGGAGCTAATCCTTTTATTAACGATATAAGCGATCGAGAGATTACAGAATGTAAGTTTTCGCCGCGGCGGTTATAGACTATCCGCCGAGCCGAACACTTAACGTACGAAACAGAGAGACAGAATACGAAAACAAGCGAAGCAGCGAAACTCGGGCTAGGCGACGATGTCGGGCTAGGCAACGATTTCGGGCTAGGCAACGATTCTTCTTGTCTGCTGGTTAATAATCTCTGGATCGGATCCTGTTCCCAATAATGCTTCTGACTATTTATAGGGAACAAGAACCCTAAAATTCCTTCTGTCTCCACTGTAAATGACGGTTTTGCCCTTCCGGGCTTAATGGGCTCTTCATAGTGATCAAGGCCCTCTTATAAACTTGTGCCATCTGTTTTGGGCCCCCTAACATATAGGGGGCAAAGCCCATGTCCAACAATAAGCCCCCCCCCCTTAGTCCGTTGTGCGAGAGTATGCTTGAGCTTGACGGGCATGTCTTTGAGGTTGAAATATGTTAGTTGGGCGCAAAACAGAGTCTGACTTGAATGAATCGTCTTGTAGCCTTTGCTTGTTTTTCGAGGCGAACCGAGACTTCTCCGGGTGAACAGTAACTTCGGCACGTTTTTCGAGGTGAACAAAAACTTCTCCGGGTGAACAGTAACTTCGGCACGTTTTTCAAGGCGAACCGAAACTTCTCCGGGTGAACAGTAACTTCGGCACGTTTTTCGAGGCGAACCGAAACTTCTCCGGGAGATTTTGTGACTTCGGCACGTTTTTCAAGGCGAACCGAAATTTCTCCGGGTGAACAGTAACTTCGGCACGTTTTTCGAGGTGAACAGAACTTCTCCGGGGTGAACAGTAATTTCGGCACGTTTTTCGAGGCGAACCGAAACTTCTCCGGGAGATTTTGTGACTTCGGCACGTTTTGTTTCAACACAATTATTTCTTTGTTATTTAATGACGTTAGAACAGAAACTTCTCCGGCAAAGCCCATGTCCAACACAATTATTTCTTTGTTATTTCAATTTCAATGTTATTTAATGACGTGTTGTTTCAAATATGTAGGCATGCAGGTGGATGTTAGAGATATAGAGAATTCGAGCAAGTTCTATATACCACCGTGTGGCCCTGCCCAATGCGGTAAATTGTTCTATAAATGGTCTTGTTGGTGCTGTATGAGAAATCCAAAGCTTTGTACGAAATACCAAAAAGATTGCGATTCCGATCCCCGTTGTCCTCGTATAAGTTTAGAAAACTAATGTAGTGCTATGACTGTTTATTCATTTTTGCATTGCTTTAACTAATAAAAAAACTATATATCTATATTATTTTTTGGATTCTATATCTATATGAAATGTGAATTTTATTATAACTACTATATATTACCGACAAATAAGACCAAGGTTGATAGAACAATTTTTTTTTTTTTTTTGAATATTCAGCTATAAATTCTCAAACCAAACCCAAAGTTGTGGAAATATATGTTTATTACATAAAAACTTATATGCTTTGCTTGATTAATTCCATAAAAAAAAAATGGGGTCTCAACTCTCCAATACCGATATAGAAATGGTCTCAAATACGGCAAAAGAGAGAGAGAAATAAATAACCGATCCTACGAAATAGGAAACGTATGTAGTCATGCCGGTTTTCTCATGTTAACCGGTCGGTTCCCATCAGCGTTATTGTAATTCACACCAGTACTCCTTTCACCAATATAGGCTGTGAAAGTTGAAGATATCTCCCGAAATATTTGGCATTTCACCGAAATCTCAAAGATCATGATCAAAGAAAAAAAAAAGAAGATATTATCTTGAAATACTTGATTATCTAATTTAAGCTTCTCTATTTTCTATATATTGTGAGTAATTAAGCTTTGTCTTTTACAAGTCACAACAACTCAGATAAAGAGATAACTCAAAAAGCACAATAATACAATATCCATTTAGACATCCAGACCATGAAATCATCATTGCGTACATCTCTCATCTGCATACTCATGCTCTCTCTCTTTGCTCTACATCAATGTATGTATATACATAGGTTTTCTCATATACATATCAAAACTATCTCTTTAACTTCTTTTGATGTGTGTTTCAAATTAATGTGTAGGTGTGAGGATGACGGTAAGAGAGATAGGAAGGTCGAACAAAATCTATATTCCTCCATGTGACCATGTTTCCATGACAGCTCATGCGACCATGTTTTCAAAAGAGACTGTTATTGCTGCGGGACAAAACCAGATCTTTGCTGGGATGATCAACACTATTGCAACACCCATTGTCCTCCTCTAAAACCATTAATAAACTGATGTACAAATACTTATTCAAATCTCAGAGTTTTCTAAGCATTCGTATAATGTGCTTAATTGTACCAATTTTCTTAATTTTCACATATACGAATTAGGTAAGCAATGATACTAACTACTAAAAAATTTAACTGTTGCTTATGGATGAATTCTTGTCCATAGAATTTCTACATTTTCTCCAATATACTTTTCACATTTACACATAAAAATGAACAAGATTTTTTTAAAACTAATAAATGATGAAAGTCGCCCTTATAAGCAGATATAACCTAAAGAATTTTCCACGAAAAATATGAATACCTAAACCCTAATTAGATTTTTCTTTAAGGGCATTTAGGATTCTTCCCTGGTCCACCATAATAAAAATAACTCCCCCAAGCCCGATTAGACCCACCTTGAATATCGTAACAATTCGGATGATCCGCAAGTACTCGAAGATTAGGAGAAGGGACCAAATTGTTATCCCAATCAACTACTTGGATGTTTCTGAAATAAGAAGATTTTGTAAACCCTTCCTCTGCAAAATGTCCACTTCCCATTTGTGTTGAAGTATGGGCTCCAAAAGGACTCGAATTTACGACTTCACCACCGTATTGGACCATGCTCGCATGCTCCTTCAGGTGTGTGAACAAAAACGATGGCCAATACCCAACTAGAATACCCGACCCGAATTCCAGCCACCAATTCCCATGCTTCGGATCCTGGAATTTATTTATTAAACACACATAAAATAATTAAACCTTTTATGATAATTTGAAAATATAGCTAGATTCCTAAATCAGCTCACCGAATAACTCTTAATATTTTATTTTTCCGAATAACTAAATTTACTTATAATATTTTTTTCATCAAACCCCACTTTCGTTAACAGTGTTTGACCGGCAACGTAGTTGATCTAGTTTGCATCGAACAAATCATGTATTCAGTGACATTAACTTAGATGATTTTTAATGCACCTGACAATAAAGAATAGATGGTTTAATCTGTGTGTTTTCCTCTATAGAAATAGAACTAAGCATGCCTTTAATGATGACCCATGTGAGGCTAGCTAGAGAAAATATATAGTACTATTAATTTGATAACTTATGAGCCTGCTCCTAGCATTGCTTTGAGAGCTGGTATGTTGAACTATTTGGGGACAAATGTATCAAAGAATGAAAAAAGAATAACTTAGAACAAAAGTAAAGAGTTGTAATAAGTGGTATGATACTCAAGTGTACTTCTCTTTTTTCTTAATAATGATCAAAGAAAAAAAGGGGAAGAGATAGAGCATCTTCTAATTAAAGCATATGCAATGGATTTTTTTTTTAAAGTACTGTATACCCAATTGTCAAAGGTACAAATTAATTAATGAATATTGTAATTAAAGTGTGTTTAGAGGAGCTAATATCTTGATTTGTAAATTAGAGAGTTCAGTTGTACCTTCCAAATAAGCAGAGTAATATCGAATTGTCCACCCTTGTAGGAAGACGATGGAGAGATTGCAGCTCCAATCGCAATCTCACTATTGGTTTGGACAAAACCGGAACACAAGAGATTGTAGCAACCGGTTGCTTGATATGCATCGTTCTGTCTCCAAAAAAAAAAAACTAATTAATAATAAACTTAACCATATATAATTTAAATACAAAAGGCAAAATTATCATTAAGAAAAAAGAAAGGCTTGGCATTGGAAATTTGGAATCACTCACAGTCCAGTAAGTAAAGAATCTTGGGTAATTATCTCCATAGAGCTCTGGACTCACCTAATGGCAAATGAATTATCCAAAATTAGCAATCGATAAATCTTAAAATATAACCTAATATTAGTCTATTTTATTATGATAGTACGTAAGATTGTTTTTCCAAATTAAATTACTAGAAAATAAAGAAAGAAATATATAAGAAAAAAGTTACCTGCCAGCCAGCTTCAATGGTGTTGAGATCATTACCAAAGGAACCAGAGATAATCCAAATCTGAGATAGACTAAATTCGTATTGGTTCTGCACTTGTGGAGCCCAAACATTGATGCTTGCTTTAGCACCATAGTATTTCTCTCCGCTCACGTATCCCACCGCGTGCTATACTCAGTCATTAACACATCCGAATATTAAAAAATTTATCCCTTAGTTAGATTAAGATAAGAGTATACTCAAAGTATATACGTTACTGCAAGTTGTGTCAATAACTAAAATAAAATGAGTATTAATTTAGAAACTTGTGGAGTTTGTGTTTGTGTTTTCCAAATCTAGTTAACTAATGATTTTATATTATTATAAAATATGTGATATATTTTTGGGAAAATATAAAATTGCTGCAGAATGTAGAAGAGGATTAATCATCAATCAAAAGAAGTTTTTTTTTTTTTTTTTTTTTTACCGACAAGCTGCTCTATCTTTCTTTTTTCCACAATTCTCAAAAGAGATGAAAAAAAAGAAAGTGAAAACACTTGCCAATTTCGTTGACCACTTTTGTATCTTCTCGTCCAAAGAGGCAAAAGATAGTAAATAAATAAAAATTCATCGATTTCAAAATCTTACATTTTCATACCAGGAATTCGAATTTCGAATTTATAAACACTCAAGACAAAATATCTTTCTCTTTAGAATTTTACGTATAGTATAGGTGGACCAAAGATCTATCTCTTTCTTTTTTTTGGGTCAAAATTTTAATTTTCTTGGTAAAAATATTTGTTTAGGTTTTCAAATTGGACCCATATGACTAATGTTCACTTTAAGAAAAAAAAAAAGGGAGAAGATGAAAATCTTACTTCATGGCCATTACTGCTAGTGTCTCTTCTGTAATGTCTGAGTTTCTTGCCAAAGCTAGAAACAGAGTTTGCTCTGAGAATGTCTTCTTCTTTTGTTCTTCTGATAGGGACTGTTCCCTCAGAACATGTCTCTCCCTCCATTCCCCATAACTGGAAACTCTTTGGTCTCAATCCTCTCCTGTTATGCCCTCTTGGCCTCTCAGGAGGATCCTTCAGTAATTAATTCACAGCTTAATTAGTTTATCATTAACGGATCTAATGACTATGTTTATCAAGATTAACGTATGGTCTGTGTACCAGTGGCTTCTGTCCTCTTAATCTGGGATGATCAAATGCTGGTTGGTGATGTAATAAAACACAGTCTATGATGTCACCATCAGGACTCTGCAATACAGAATCAGAAAACAGATGAAGAAGAAATTAGAGTGTGATCTTAAACGAAGAAAGAAGAATCAGAAACAGAGGAGGACGAAAAGCGTGTGTGTGAATCTGAAACAGAGTATGTTCTTGAAACAATAAAAAACAGAGCGAGTTCTTGAAACAGAGCATAACGAATCAGAAACAGAGTAAGAGAGTGTTTTTTTTTTATGAGACAGGAAGAAGAAGATTGTTGCGTACGATAAATCTCATTATACTTACATGAATTGTCTTGATTGAAGGTTTATTGATCTTCCTGAGATGTTGATTAATGGCTTTGAGCTTATTAAGCTCCTCGAGTGGCCTGAGAGTTTGGTTTCTCGGTGAGAGATTCTCAGACAAGACAGAGGAAAAAGAAGAAGACAAGAGAAGAAGAGAGAGGAAGAGAATGTTGGAGGAGCAAGTACGAAACAAAAGGATCATATCTAAGAAGAAGCTTCTTCTTTTTCTTCTTCTTCCTCGTCTTGTTATCATTCTTGTTTCTTCTGAGAACAAATCTGTTTCCGTTTGTCTCATTGTAATGCATCGATCGAAACAACGGCATTTATTGCCGTTTCTGGGTTTCCTCAACACGAACACACCTCCCATTAAAACCCAAAACGTTTTCTTGATATTAAAGAATGAGCAAGTGAGCAAAAGAAGACAAAAAACCCTTGATTTTTATAATCTTCTCAAGCTCTCACCAGTTCCAAAGCTATTGAAGCTAAATTTCTTCATCACAAGCCCAAATAAAGAATCAAGAAAACACTCTTATGTCTTCTTGGGGGATTATGTTAATAAGAAAGAGAGCGAGGTAGAGGAGAGAGTATTAAAAGGGGTTAATGGAATTGTGGTGTCTTAAAGTAATAGTCTAAATGTTTATATGTGTTTTGTGTTGGTGTTATAAGTACTTGGCTTGGATAGTGATGAAATCATTCATGCCTTTGTTTTCTTTAACCTCCAAGAATACAGAGGAACCAAAAATAAAATAAAAATGACAAAATCATAAAAGCCCACTGACATAAAGTGACGACATAAAGTGACTAAGCAAAATCTAACTACAATGCTTTTCCTTTTTTCTTTGTTGGTCCATGGCTTAAGAAAATGAGTGTGCACACTTCCTCCTTAAATCACATATTAAAACCTAGAATATAGAAACTGGCTTAAGCTAAAACAGAGGTTAAGAAATTATTTAGTCTAAATGTCTCATGTGTTAATGAAGGAGAGAGGTTACAAATGGTAATCTCTTTAAAAAATTTATCAATCCTTTTCAAATTATGTATGTATTTTACCTGTTATATCGGAATTCATCCTAAAATGAAATCTGTTAATAAGTAAATTTTATGTCAATTAAAAAAAAGTGTAGATGGACCATACCTAATAGTAGACCTGAAACATTAGTTTGGATTAGGCATGACCACGGTTACGGTTATTGCGGTTACGGTTTATTAACTTCTGGTTTGGTTATAAAATTTCTCTAACCGTAACCTTAACCGTTATATATACGGTTAAAACAGTTACGGTTAAATACAGTTACGGTTACAACGGTTACGGTTAAATACGGTTACAATTATTTAATTATTACGATACGGTTAATATCAAAGACAAAAACTTAGGTATTTTAAACCTTTAGAGTAAAAATTTTAATGATATATATCAAATAATATTTATTTTACAATATATAATATATGTGATTATGTACTTTAATATTTATAGTTAATTAGCTATTTCGTAAAATAACTAAATTAGTGGTAATAATTATAATGATTGAGTTATTTTTTTATAGACAATACGTATTCCAAACAATACTATAGAAATGATGTTATGAGAATTAAGAAACGATTACAGGAGTAGAAATAATAACTTGTAAATTATTTATGATTTGATTTGTGGAAAATGAGTAGTGGACGAGTGGAGTAGTTTAAATTTAGTAGTGAGCATATTGAACCATTTAAAGCATTGTTTTAGTAAAATAATTATGTATTTTAGGTTTTAACAGCACGGTTAACTATGCGGTTAACCGCAT